GGGTCCAGGACTCAAACCGTGGTCGACTACATGGGAGTCCAGTGACATAGCCATTACGCTAACTGCTGGTTCCCACTGTGATCTTCCGGCCTGAAGCCGCCCTCTTCTCCTTCCTGCATGTCCCTGCCCCACCGCAGGCCCCTGTCTGGCTCCTCCCTGACCCCTGCCTAGAGCAAGTGGGGAGGGTTTGCTGACTTCCTGGGTGGGGCTGGGGGGGAGGCGACAGGGAGGCCCAGGAGCAGAGGGCACCGCTCACACTCAGGAGAGCTGATGTACACGCAGGGAGCACACACGTGTGCACTCTCAGAGGGACACATGAAGGCGTGTGCACACACACATACACTCATGCATGAGCCCCCCACATCCATGTGCATCCAACCCCAGCCACAGTGAGCAGGTGCATGCAGGCTCCCACAGACCCACACGTACACGAGTGTGCACACGCCACGGCACACACAGGGCAGGCGTACACCCGGGCCCCCACTCAACTCCTCCCAGGCCCCTGTTCCTTACAGGGCCCAGTTGCCCCCATGCATGGCCGTCATGCTCTGGGGAAGAGGCTGACCATGGGGCTCACTCTGGGTGGCAGAGGGAGGGAGACAGGAGGCAGCCCGGGCAGAGCGCTGTGTGCTCCGTTTTCTGAGCTCAGATCATTTGCTGAGATCTCAGCCGGTGGGCGGGCTCAGACCTCGCACACACCCCCTCTCCCAAGGGCCCGACTCACCTGCAGGCAGGCCACCCCGAGGCCGACCGCCCCCATCAGCAGCAGGTGGTCAGCTAGAAACTGCTCCAGCTTGGTGATGCAGCCTCCCTGCAAGGTGACCGCGGTTACCCACGTCTTGGCCCACGCATGGGGGAGAGGAGGGCAGGGTTGGCTCCAGGCTGCACCCTGAGACTAAGGAAGGGCCCAGGACAGATGGGGCTGGCGTGGCCTTTGGATTCTAGGGGGACATGCCACAGTGTCCTAGGGTCCCTCAGGAGGAGCTGCTTGTCCCCAGGGTGCTACTTCCAGGGCCCCCAGCTCTGTGCACTCAGGGTCACGTGTGGTCTGCGCTCCCACGCCCGCCGCTGCCTGAGCCGGCCTCCCGGGCCCTCCCTACCCCGGCTCGGACTCACCTCCACCTTGTAGATGTTGGAGGGGTGGGCCCTCTGGCCACAGCGTGCCACCACGGTCTTGCAGCAGCTGTCGGGCACGCGGCGGCCCTCGGCCTCGCGCGACAGGACGTAGGCGCTGTGCTGCCAGTCGGCCGAGCTGTTGCTCCCGCAGCACTTGAACTGGGGAGAGGCAGAGGCTGGGGCCACCGGAGCCTGCGCGAGGTCCCCTCCAGCCTGGCCTCCTCCAATAATTAGCCCAACCCGTTCCTTTGTTTTCTGCCAAAGGGCGTGTGCGCGTGCAGAGACAGGGAAAGTGAGACATCATCCCGGGGGGTGCCACGCCACACCTTTCTCCTCCACCCATCGTCCATTCGGGATGCTTGGGGCTCCAACTGTGGCCAGCCGTGTGGGAGTCCAGCCCCTAACCAACACGTCATCTGCTGGCCCCCTTTGACCGGTTTGTTCTTCCCGGGACGTCTCCTTTCCCTGAGGGCAGCAGGAAGCTGGGCCTTGGCCCCCCCTCAGGCCACAGGACATCATGTGCTACTTCTCAAAGCCACCGCGTCCTCTAAGGAGACTGAGGCGTCCTGGGCAGGGCGTCTATGAGATGGGTGGGAAGACGAATGCTGGCAGGTCCCCTGAGGGGTGCAGTGCCCAGGATGGGACAAACCACAGGGTGGCCTCCTGGTCCCCCAAGAGGCAGGACGGGGAACAAAGGCTCCATGCGGGCTGATGCCTCGGACCTGCTGGGTCAGAGGGTGGCCTGGAGCCCATGCGTGCAGACAGCGCTGACCAGAGGGCCGGCATGAGGGCCGGGTGAGCCCTGCGGCCATCTGCACCAGCCGGATGGACAGTGGTTCGCTGACCACAGCCACCCCTCTCCCGGGTGGGCGCTGGGACGGAGCTGCATGGCAATGCTGGCTGGGCGGTCTGGCGTGTGGGGCTGGGGTACCCCTGTCCAGGAACGGGCGTCTGTCTGGTCCTACATGTGCCCACAGTGAACGGGGACCAGGCTGAGTGCAGCGAGGCAAGGCCCTGCCCCGCAGCGTCACATTTCAGGGAAGGACTGCAGCTCCGGCAGGGCCTCGGCCAGCGCGGGGTGCCCGGGGTGGAGGCAGGTGCCCGGCCCAGGCACAGAGCGGGCCTCACAGGGGTGTGCCAGACTGCCGCGTGTGCCGGGCACCCTCCTGCCCTGGCCCTTGTGAGCAGTGAGAAGTAACCCGACCTGGGGGCCGTGGGGGCTGAGGGAGCAGTCGGGACAGCACGGGCCAGGGATGTGCCAGGCATGCGCTGTGGGGCCACGTACACGGGTACATGTCACTGTGCCCTGCAGGGCGGGGTGCTGCCTGGCTCAGAAGGCCGCCTCCTGGCTGGGCTGTGGGCTCGGGTCTGCGGCTCCTGGCAGGTGTGCGGCTGTGTGTGTGTGCGTGCCCATGCCCATGCCGGCTCGCCGGACTCAGCCTTCTGCACGCCGGCCCTCCCGGACCGGCCACGCCCCTCGCCCCTCCTCTCCAGCTTAGCAATCTCTGCCCGGGGTGCTTGGCCGCTCCCACCTGCATCCTCCAGGAAGCCCTCCTCCCCGCTTTCTACCCTGAGTGCCCCAGCCCAGCCCCACACACGTGTGGCCTGGTGTGTGTCTGGCTTCCCGAGCAAGTCCCCAAGGGCCAGGCTAATGGCTACCGTACGGGACAGCACAGGAATGAGGTCTGCGTGCCCGTCCCTGCCATCCGGACAGGGCTAGCCTCACTAGGAGGGAAGGAGAGG